ATAGAGCTAGGAAAGTGGATAAGGGCAAACAAGGGAAAGACTGTGGATTTGAATTTTGACAGGGAGATCACATATTCCCGTGTCGGGAAGCCTGCCAATTGGTTCACACATGAAATTGGGAAGTATTTGTGGAACAACGTCCCTTTAAACGTATCTGGTTGGGACAATGTTTCCCCCGCGTTAAGGAATTCGACAGTTGTGCATCTAAAGGTAACTTGAATAATATTTTAAGTTTCGTTGTGATTGTTATTTAATTAATTAACTTTTTTGTATTTGTAGAATAAGTTTGATTTGGATAAGGTTCAGTTGGATCCGGAGCGTGCACAATTGTTGCGGAGCATTGATTCGAGTCTTGCAAAAGTTTACAGAGACCGAAAAAGTAAAGCCCATTCTAATTTTAAGGATATCGGGGGCCCTGCAGATATCCCAATGGCACTAAACAACCCCCCCAATGGTATGTCACCAGAAAATTGGGCGAAGGCAGTCGAACATTTTCAATCGCCCGAATTTTTAAGTCGTTCGGTGTCAAACAAAGAAGTCCGTGCAAAACAACTAGTTGTAAACAGAGGGGGGTCGAGCTCGTACAGTAATGCATGCTTCAAAGAAGTAAGTTATGATATATTTAAATGTTTATTTAAAGTATAATTAATCTATTTTTTTTGTTAAATAGGATATCACTCGAATCGAAGCATTCCGTAAGGCTAATTCCAATCGTCAAGGGGTGTTTTATAGTCCTGCAGTTGAGCAACAATACGTAAGTGGTTAATTTGTATTTTCATATAAGTGTTTATATCGTCAAGGGTATTTAGTACGATATGTTTTTAGTAAAAAGTAATTAGATAGAATTAATGATTTTAGTACGATATGTTTTTAGTAAAAAGTAATTAGATAGAATTGCGGCGACGGCTGTCAATACTTTCGTGTGAATAGAAAGATCAATGAAAACGGACTTGAAATGAAGAGGTTATGGTTGTTTGAAAATTGAAGTGGATTTTGGTAGAAACGAGTTCACCACGGCGTGGAGCATTGTGCAACCCAAGCCCAATAAATTAGGGTTTGGCTCATATTTAAGGGCTTCAAATCCTTGTTTTAGGTCAATTTCTAGCCTCCATTCCACCAAGAAACCCTCCTTTTAGGAAACCCCAACCTCTCGTCATGATTTTAGCTTCTCCCCTCTCCTATCTCATCTTGTGGGTACTTTTGGTGGTGTTTTGATGAAGCTTGAAGATTAAGAAATATCTTTTGGTTACAGGGAATCTTGTTTCAAGATTAGATCCATCAAAGTCACTTCATTTATGGATTATTGTGAGTATAAAGTTCATATCTTGCTCTTTAGTTCCTTAGATATTATCATTTGTGGTTTTTTTGGCACTTTTGGTCTATTTTATGAATAATCTTGGAGTTGAGTGGACTCCAACATCTTTTGATCAGTTTGGAATGCTTCTTGGACCAAGTGGACTAGAAAGTTAGTATCTTTTGCATTCCCTTTAAGCCATGCAAGTTATCTTGGTCCCTTAGGTCATTTTGATGTATTAAAGTTCGGATCTTGAAATTTTGTGGCAACATTATGGATGTAGTTTGAAACTTTATCCATCTAAACATCATGTTAATTCAAATATGAGGGTTGGAGACTTAGACTTAATGGATTATGTGAGAAAGATGCATTCTTGGTCCCTTTGGGACTTAAAGGTTAGATTCTTTGTTGTTTAGGCCATCCTAACGGATAAAGTTGGAAACTTTATCCATCATGAAGCTATTAGGTACATGTAACACCCACAATTTTGGGCAACAAATTTAAGATATAATAGATAATCCTGGAAAGAGTTGTAGTAATCAAATGAGTATCTCGGGGATATAAGGAGCATTTAAATTTGACTACGTATGATGAAGTTATGCTTCTTCAAAGTTTTGCGATCAACCCGACATAACTATACACATCATAAAAAGTGAATCAGAGATAGGTTGCTTATTAGCCTAAGTAATCTAAATGAAAGTTGTAGTAATCGTAAAATCAAACTTGTACATATAGAGAACGTCCAAATCTGGCTTTGTATGAGGAAGTTATTGTTTTTCAAAGTTTCAACGCAGTTGTGTTAACATAGAAATCGAACTTTAGATCGGTTGATTTTTAGGCAAAACAATCTAAACGAGAGTTTAAGATCTCGTGATTAAGAGTCTGTCGATATAAAGATAGTTGAGAATTGAGTTCGTATGAAAGAGTTATGATTTTCGCACAGATTTTAACAGTCTAATTTGTATAAAAACATCAATTTAAAAAAAGATTGAGAATTAGTTATTAAGGTCCAAAGAAAAGTTGTAGAGCTCGTTGATAGGATTCCGACGATATAAAGAACATCGGAAATGGAGCTCGTATGCGAGAGTTAAGAAATTACATGTTGTAATTACGTGGAAGCTCTAGAAGGCGCCATGTGGCATGGTTGATAGCCGACTCCTTCACGAGATAAGGTGATGTGGCACCACAAAATTAAGACATGTGGCACCATGGACTGGTGACACATGGCAGCTTCTAGAAGAGAAGGATATGGAAGAATGTGGCGGCGACACGTGGCAACCAAGAAAGGCAACTATGTGTCTGACTTTTTATGGGTTTCTGAGCATTTTAGCAGTGCTCTAGAGTATCTAGAAGACCAATGAAGAAACGCTTTCGGGCCGGAGTTCTACCTGCGACTTTCCTCGTTTTTGTTAAAATTTATGTAAGTTAAGTTGCACTTACTATGCTTCAAGTGTAACTTATGTTTAAGTTCATTATCATTATTATGAACCTAAAAACAAGATTTATCACTGATTCCATCTCATAATAATGATTGATCTACTTATGGGAATGATGAAAATGCTAGATTTAGTGAGGTGTTTAAAGTGGGATTTCCAAAAAGTATACTCTATATACCAAACATACCCTAGTTCTGATATGATCTTACCTAGTTATTCCTTACTTGATAGATCTTAATGTACACATGCATAGGGATTGTTAAGGAATCTACACTATCATTAATCACATAGAATATTAGAATAAAAATTTGGAATATTCGTACCTAGTTCATATCAAAGGTTACTTTCAAATTACAAGTCATCCACTTTTAACAAGTGGGTGTATAGTTACTTTCAACTTACACATAGATACAAGTATTCTAAATGTTATGTGTTTTGCTTTGCTGTGTTTAATGTATATGTGCAACATGATATGATTATTACTTGGTTAAACTGTATATTTATCATACTTCAAATATGATTGGTTAGTGAAGGGCTGTGTAAAATAATAAATGAGAAACTATAATAGGAAAATGTTAGTTAGTGAAAGGCTGTGTGAAATAATAATGAAAAGTTGTGACCATAGTACTATCGTACTGTTATGCCAGTCATATAGAAAAGTATTGATTAGTGAGGATTGTGCGAAGTAATAAGCTGTGACCATAAGTACTATCGTAATACCATGCCCAATCATCTAGAGGAGTATAGACGACAACCACTCACTGTTCTAGATAGTCAAGTAGAACACTGGCAGGCGCATTACTTGTAGCTGTTAATGAACTAAGCATTCATTCCATATGCTCCATCCCCCCAAATGGTTTCCTTATTGACTCTTATTGCTAAAGGAATCCCCGAAGCAATGTT